ACTACTTAATATGATCACAATCGACAATCCTATGCCAGCGTTTCCCTGTATTTACCCAACATATCATTTAATTCTGTGATAAACTATAACTATATTAATAAATCATACAATAAGTAGAAGTATTTCATATACAATATCTTTATTAACTACTTTTTTGGTCGGAAAGAGATTATGTAATCGTTGCTAAATATGAACAACTTTTATCATTTAGTAAGATCAATAAAAAGTTAACTATTTTTCGCATTAATATTCTGCTGTACTGTAGTTGATATGCAATACATGTATACATTGTATTCATTAACTATACTTTCCAGTGAATGACTCTAATCTGTGGGCGAAACTCATTTATAGACACAAAAACCTCCAGAATATTGATATTCAATTCTCGTACTATATTTTGATTATATACAGAATCTATATATTTCTATCGTTTCAGTGAGTTTGGGCTAAATTCTAGAAATAAAACTAAAATTTTAATAAAAATATAACATAAATAGAGGTATTTTCGACTAAACACTAATGTAAAATTTGATATTAATATTTAATACAAAAGATTAAATTAATTTACATATTCATATAAATTTACAATACGTGTCAGTTTGTATGGTGTATAAAATGATAGCAAGTTAATATCTTTATCAATATAACTTTAGTTTATGTAAAGTATAATTTTTTACAATATTTTTGATAGAATTTAATGTATTATTTACGACATACTTAAGAATATTCTGTAATTATATTACTATTAATCTTTTGTATGATGGATAATATTTTTCAAAATAATACATATGTTCATAAAATGATCATTTTTTACATGAAGGTTATTGACGGCGATATAAAAATGAGAATATTCTTCATTTCGGGTTTATATGTAAAAACCTTTACTTTTTAAATAATCATTTAATGAAATCACATCCATATGTTTGAGCCATTAATCAATTTGTAAATAAATGATTGTGTTTGACATATAATCGATTACTTACCACAAGCCAACCGGCCCTCAGGAAAGTGATTACACCAAACAAGTGAATAACACATGAAGTATAGACTCCATCCCAGGTTCCAAACAATATGGGTTGGGATAAAAAGAAATTGGATTTCCACCACTGCTTCCCAAAGCTATCCTATTATTTGACAAATTTTTAAATATAAAAGTCGTTTAAGTGTTTTGTCAAACTCTTTGAATAAACGTAAAACACAATAATAACCTGATCTTCGAGATAGAGCTCGTTGTGGGCCAAGCCGTGCACATGGGATGCGTCGGCACCCGATGCTAAAGCGGTTCTCTGTTCATAGGAATCGGTGTCTAAGCCATACTGCGCCCAATTGATGTGTTTGGGCGACGAATTGTCACTTTGCTTGACATTTGACATATTTATCAAATCATTAGTTACCAAATATTACTCATATTGAAATCAATTGTTCCGACTGTTAGGCGAATACATAAACATATGTTTGGGCAACGAATCCCATTGCTTGGAATGATCAGCGGAACTATAAAATGAATGGTCTTAGAAAACCAATTCTACTCTAACACTACTCCTAACCCTAACTCTACAGTTATTACAGCACATGTCAACCAATTGATGGCAGACTTTCACTTCCATTCAGTATTTAGTGCCACTGAAAACACACAACGAATACACTCTTAAATATCGATTGACTATACAATTCAGTTCTGTTCTCACTTTTGCGCAAAATATATTTCTATGGTCTCAACTTCCTATCACCTGTTCTCTCACTATTCGCATATTCCTTATCCAGTATTGCATTTCTATTGTCATATACAAGGAATTGAATTTAACTAAAGCAACCATTTTTAGCGGTTAAATCTATTGACGGCTTTAAATAGCTTTATTAATAATAGTATTACTTCCAGACTCGGGATTGTAATGTTGATCTGAGGACATATTGCACAGCACCACATAAATCCTTTATTAATTCAAATTAAATTTATGTAAATTAACTGAATAGACACTATATTTAGTGTAATGAACATTAATATTAACGATTTATAACATCTTAAAACGATTTTTAGGCCGATTTTATCATTTTGTAACTAACTATTTGGGGTCTTTTTAATAACTATTATGACCATCACTGATATTTTAAGGCCGAATCGGCCTAAAGTATATAACCACGGCATAGTAAAATTACTTTTTCTCTAATTTATATCAGTCATGATTATGACTATTTCGTGTCTTATATTTACCTACAATGCAATTCTCTGGTCATATATTTGTCAAACATTGTCTATATAGCGATGACAACAACTTAATCACAACAAATTGTTTACACAGTAAAAGTAATGAATAAATGACAAACTTATAAATTATTTTAAGACATATCACTTATTCTGTCAAAAAATAATTATTTATTATGAAAAATAAAATTGAAAAACTTATACATTTAATGATATGATAAACATTTGATGAGTTTCTAACATTATTTTGTACGTCTGGACGACATTCCAGAAGTTTCTATGAGTTTTTGGTCACTTTTTTCTTGTTCTTCGCATAGCTTCGCGTACTTTTCAAAAGCGACCGTTTCTTCGCCCATCTCTTCATCGAAAGATCGTTTGTATTCATTAGAGTCCGGATTATTGATCTGATTTCGACACAATTCCAGCTTCTTTTCGATGGCTTTCACCTGTTCTTTGGGTGGCGTCGACACCGACTTAATCATTGACCACAAGGCTATCAACACAAGTACAATATCGTTACAATTCATGCTATTTATGTTTCTATTAAATACTAACCGCTCATCACTTTCTGCAAATGTTGTATTTCATTGATTCGGTCGACAAATAATAAATCCTTTAAATAACTTTTAAAAAAATTTTAATAAAAAGTAATTGAAAATGTGATGGAAATGCTATACCGGTCTAAATTGATCTTTAAATTACTGGCCGCGTATACAACAGCCGATAATGCAATCTATAATTGAAAACACATTTAGTTTCAATGATAACATCAAAAGACAATAACTCGTGATTACCTGCGAAGGGCTAAACAGAAAGCAGGCGTCTGTGAAGAGTGACATATCGATGAAATGGTCGATATGTGGCCTCAACTTCTCGGGATCACCGCATTGGGGGTAACGAGTCTGTCATTGTTGTCAATACAATTACTACAATCAATAAATTATGTGTCAATCGATGGCAAAGATTATACCTTTAAATCAATGAGAAAGCCTTCGATTGGACGCAAAGGATTGTAAACATTTAAATGATATTTCAATTGTTGCATAAGAAGTAACTCATTGTTAAGGACAATATCGGAGGCCTTCGCGCGATCGCCCTTAACGTTAGCCACAAATTGATTCATCGATACATTAAACTCATCCACTTTTGCGGCCAAATAAACACACGTAACGATTATGTGCTTCGGATGGAAATCCATAACTGAATTATTGAGATAAAAGCGCTTAAAATATTGAAACGCCGTTCCCTACCATTAGTGACAAAACACGAGACATTATATTGGATTCAATGGAGTGATAATACAGTTCGCAAACACTTACGATCACAGACTTAGGCATCGGCGGTGAGAATTTGCGGCAAAAGTCACGTAACATTGTTTCGTATGATTTGGTGAAAAGTGACTCTTCGTGTGGACTCAGATACTTGTCGT